CCTCCAATCGGGCCATCAGCCTCCTGAATCCCGTCTCTGAGCGCCGCTCGGTAATTTTATTCATGAGAAACCCAGAGTCTATGAAACATTACATGGAATGCAAATCGCCGCTGAACTCCGGCGACTCTGCGAAACTTTGGACGAGCTGCAGAACGCCGCCGGAGCCGGCGCCGAGGCCCGGAGGTCGACTCGCCGCTCGGCAACAGCGGGAGGTTAAATGTGAGAGAGACGGAGGCATGTTCAGACGGAGAGGCTTTTTAAAAAACGCATTAAACACTTGAACCCGGCAGCTGCAGCGTTCTCTTCTCCTGGCAGCCAGGCGGGCAGAACTCGGTCCACTTCGCTAGATTAGAGGTCCGAGGAATCTGATCAGCGGGAACAAAGCGAGGCAGAAGCAGGACGAGCGCTGCTGCTAATTAGTGGAGTCTGACGAGGTCACGCGGCTCAGATGCTAATTTAAACAGCTCGTCTGGTTTATTTGGCGGCGCGGCGCCCACGTTGTTGTTGTTGTTGTTGTTGTTGTTCTGTAACGAAGCGTCAGAGAACTTAGTCTGACTGCTGTGTTCCCGGACCGGAGGAACAAATGAAACCAGAACAGAGGCGACTTCCTGCAGGATCGATTAGACTCCGAGACAAACGCTTCCAATCAGGTTCATCAGAAGTGATTGATCCTCTTACAGCCGGTCAAAGTCTGACAAATATGAGCAGAAACACAGAAACCAGACGTCTGCTTCCATTAAAGCAACCGTTTCCTGTTTCAGCTCAGTCAGGATCACCAACGTCATCTAAATCCACTAAACACCAGAATAATGAGAGAATGTTCTACGAGCTTCTTCAAAACGAGAAGTTCACATCCTCAGACCGTTTGTCCAGACGCTGACGTCGAGGCTTTGGAGGATTTTTGTGTTCTAACGTTAGAACATGGACGAAGCTTCACATCCATGAGGAGCCTCGTTTCTGCCACAAGTTAAGATTTATTCATTTCTTCCAAAACCTTTGTGGTCTCGACTTTGTGTCGACGTTAAACGATGTCGTCTCGCTGATGCTCTGTGATTTTAAACGGATGCATTTTTGATGTTGTTTTGTTTTGTGGAAGCTGATGGTGATCCACAGAAAGAATAAAGAATAAAGAATAAAGAATAAAAGACATGTTGATTGTTATTTTAAAAATATTAAAACTAAACAACCAAAGAAATTCATCTTCTTTCCTCTGATTGATTCCCATCATTCTAACTCTGTCCAGCGGTTAAAACATTCAGACTTAAAACAGGTTTTATTTGTGCTGAACTTGAACTCTTCTGTCGTGTTATTGCTGCTTTTCAGAGACTCGTTCTGCAGAATAAACAACGAGTCTGACTGCAGCCGTGATAATTCCTGTCTCAGTCGTTCTTTACGGAGCGGTTTGACCATTTCTTCCTCTGAAGACGTTCTGGTTTTTATTTCCGGCTCAGAAGCAGCAAACCAGCAAAACAAAATAAATAAAAATAGAACAGAGAAGATTTCTTCTTTATTGTTATGGCATCGAAATGAGTCAATAATCGCTTTTAGAAAATTAAAAATCTCTTAAATAACCTCTGACAGTGAGCAAGTGTAGATAATAATGTCCTCAGACTGTTCCAGAAGGTGAAGGATCCAGAACATTTGGATTTGTTCATGTTTTTTACAGACTGAGTTAAAACCTGCAGAGCTCAGACTGACCTCCACCTCGGCTTCATAAAGACTGAATGAGCTCCGGCCGGCTTCAGGGAGCCGCTGGCTTTTATTCACCGTCTGAGCTGCTGCTTTACGGCCTCCACGGATCCCCGGAGGGAAACCGGCGAGGCGTTCTGGATCAGAACCTCTGGTTTTGGGTCAGTCAGTCAAAGTTAACGCGGTCTAAAAGGCTTGGCTGATGATTTAGAGGCCGACAAAGACAGAAAACTGTAAATGAAGCTGAATTCAAACAGAATAAAGAACATAAAGAGACACAACAAGGCTGAAAGACGATTAAACATCAACATCCGACTTCTGATGTGAATTCATTTTTTCCACAGTATCCAGTAAAATCACTGGTTTCCTATGAAAATTAATATTGTTTTAGAAATTTAAACTGAGAGCTCAGGAGTTTGCAGAATGAGCAAACTGTGGCTCACAACAGTAGATTTTATGACTTTTAAATTATTTTTTTTTAACTCTTTCCATCATCAGCGTCCTCCTCCGTTTAAACCCAAAACCCACCAGCAGGTTCTGAACGTCCTGTTGGATTTACTTTGTTCTAAATGCTGAAATGACACCGATTCTCCAACCAGACGCCGTGAAAACACGAAAATAAATTGTCAGGTCACTTGTCATCTGTAAAAATGATCCAAATCTGACCTTAAAATATAGATTTTATTCAAGGTTTGATGTCTTTTTCTTCGGTGGATGTAAACTTCTGGTTTCAGGTTTTGTGTGTTTTTGTGGTGACTTTATGGCTTTTTGTTGTACGATTTCTGAACATATACCAACCGGTGGCGCGTCATGACATCTGCTGAGGAGTGAAACCAGTTGGATGCTGTCTCTGGATGACCCGACATGTCGGTCGGTCCACTTTTGTGCACCTCTCGTGATTTGCTTTGGGCGGTTGTGTGTCTGTTTGCACTTGGTTTGGTCTGTTTTAATCTCTTGCGGGTCTTTTGCGTGGCCGAGCTACAAAACATCTGTGAGCATATAAACCATGTGAATACAGGATCTGCAGCTCTACTGTCGGGACCAAACGGGTCTGAAGTTTCAAAAGCAAAGCTCTGACGTCATAAGAAACGTCTCTGAACAGATCTGTGCTAAAACTGACCCCAAACATCAGCGGTCTCCATGAGACCACGTGACGTTTGCAAAGTCCAGGTTGTGTGTGAGCGTTACCGTATGGCGTGGTCCATGCGCGACACGGTGAGGTAGGCCGCCAGGTTGGCCGTGTACGACGAGCACACGATGAGCGTGAAGAGCCACCAGCTGCCCATGACGATCCTCAGCGCCACCGAGCCGACCACGCCGTCGCCGCCTGCACACGCAAAGGAACACACGGGTCAGAAGAACGGCGGCAGAGACACACGAAGCGGCACGAAAAAGTGATGCGAAATGAACAGAAACAGGAGCTGAGTCAATGAAAGCAGCCTCTGAGACACACAAAAGGACGACTAGAGGCACAACGGCTGCAAAGAGACGCAAAATAACGCAAAAAAAGTGACGCAAAACAAAGAAAAACAAACGCACAATGACCAGAAAGAGACTAAAANCCTCCAATCGGACCTCCAATCGTGGCTCCAATCTGACCTCCAATCGGACCTCCAATCGTGGCTCCAATCTGACCTCCAATCGGGCCTCCAATCGCACCTCCAATCGGACCTCCAATCGCACCTCCAATCGAGCCTCCAATCGGACCTCCAATCGGACCTCCAATCGGGCCTCCAATCGGACCTCCAATCAGACCTCCAATCGGGCATCCAATCGGGCCTCCAATCGGACCTCCAATCGGACCTCCAATCGTGGCTCCAATCTGACCTCCAATCGGACCTCCAATCGTGGCTCCAATCGGACCTCCAATCGCGCCTCCAATCGGACCTCCAATCGAGCCTCCAATCGGACCTCCAATCGGACCTCCAATCGCACCTCCAATCGGACCTCCAATCGCACCTCCAATCGGACCTCCAATCGGACCTCTAATCGGGCCTCCAATTGCACCTCCAATCGGGCCTCCAATCGCACCTCCAATTGGGCCTCCAATCGGACCTCCAATCGCACCTCCAATCGGGCCTCCAATCGGACCTCCAATCGCACCTCCAATCGGACCTCTAATCGGGCGTCCAATTGCACCTCCAATCGGACCTCCAATCGGGCCTCCAATCGGGCCTCCAATCGGACTTCCAATCGGACCTCCAATCGGGCGTCCAATCGTGGCTTCAATCGGGCCTCCAATTGGGCCTCCAATCGGGCCTCCAATCGGGCCATCAGCCTCCTGAATCCCGTCTCTGAGCGCCGCTCGGTAATTTTATTCATGAGAAACCCAGAGTCTATGAAACATTACATG